GAATCTTGATATCTTTTCCAGCGTGGATATCTTCGCACTTCATATAGACACCCACATCAGAACGGATAATGTAGAGGCTGTGTTCAGTACCACAAAAATCTATTCCCCTAGCCTCAGGTGCACTCTTCGGCACGATCTCCGGATAATCTGACGTGGCAGACATACCTTTCACTCAGTGTTTGCAGCTGAAATACTCTTTCTTCTAGAGTATCTGCGAATAAAGCAAACCAAAGCGAAAAGAGCAGCTTTTATGGCCACAGAATTTGATTATGGCTTGATCTTTAGTGGAAGGAGGGGCTATGAAACAAAACGTTTTCAAAACTGGGGCTTTCATTGTCTTTATTATTTTGCTCGAAGGGAAGTCATTGCGGTTAGAATTACATCCTCAAACCACCAACGCACATTTACAAATGTGACTTTTTTTCATTGTTCGATTGTTGACCAAATTTTCCTTTTTCTTTTCTGGACGTTTCCGAGAAGGAAATTCGCAGCGTTTCTATGCTTTGAAGGTAGTCTAACCGGGTAGACTTCTTGGACTGTGAAAGTTTTGGAAGATTCCATAAAATTGAGACTTGTGCTACATAAGAATGTGCCACTGAATTGAATGCGAAATTTGTCTCTCTGTAATGTAAATGAAATAGTTTATCTGTGAAAGAAACACATTCGTACAACAGAGGGAAACAATGTTATCCTACATAACTTCTTCCTGAAACAGTAACTCAGGAACTGAGCTTCACAGCAGGTTCTTATACCTCTGACCTTTAATAGGTTTTTATTTCATATTTGCGGAATCGGTCTTAAGTAAGTATTTTGCATCGCGACAAGTGGGCCATTTGGCAACAGGAAGCTAAATTTCTAGAAGAAATGTTTTGGTTTTCGGAATGACTAGAGCGGAACGCAATTTGGGTCTTAGAATATGCTTTCCGAAAGAGAGGGATGATTATTCCGCGCAATGATACATAACACTTCTTTGGGCACGATTTTCCTGCAAGACAGGGCTGTTTTGCAGTATAGTAACTTTTTATGATAATTTCAAACGTTTGTTTCAAGTTACGTGCAAGGGTGAAACTGACTGACTCATGATTTTTACATATTTTCCGCAACTGGGTTGTTTCATTATCGCTTGAAATCACTACACTCAGAAATCTGTGTTTGGAATTTAGAACGATTTAATGACATAAAACATGCTCTTATTGCCGTGTCAACAAAATAACCGTGAAATATAACCAACAAGAAAAAAATTGTCTTTTTTATGTTCACTTGATATCACATCTATTGATTGGTAGCTGTCTATTTCGGTCAAAAAGTGCTTTGAAAGTCGGCATGTGAAATCATTCCTGATAACTGAAATAGTCTCGCACACTGCAATAATTTCTTTTGCAGGTAGTTTCTTCAAAACAGATTTCAGATGATTAACAAGAGAAACGAGAGTAATACAAAATGTTACAAGCTTATAACCCCCCAGAAAAGATGTCACGTACTGCGGAACAACTCAAACAGTCAGAAAATTAAACCATAAGGCTCGGTAAAACTCACGTAAGAAGTGTTGTGTTGTGTTGCACACGTTTGGCCACCCTGTAGCAAGGTGTTGCAACATTTTGGATGGTATTGGATCAAGTTTGAAAATGGTCACATTTTTGTTGCAACATTTTTGGATGTTGTAAGATGTTGCACGCGTTTGGCAAGCTCCTTCACAACAATCCACAACACGATCCAATAATCGACAACGGTGCTGCAAGATTTTGCGTAGAAATGTAGCACTGCGTTGCAATCTCGCAACAATATCGAACAATCGACCACAACGTTGCAAGATGTTGCGTTGAAATGTAGCTTGCGTTTGAGCGGGCCTCGATGCCAATAAAAATTTATCGTGTAATTCAATGCAATAAACCTTTATAATTATGTATTTAGAGTGGACTAAATGAGTTTAGACCTTAACTGGCAATTTTTCCGCCCTGGGTTGTTTCACTCTCGTTTAGGATTCACTTGTTACTTGAGTCTGACCGAGCCTTATGGTTTAATTTTCTGACTGTTTGAGTTGTTCTGCAGTACGTGACATCTTTTCTGGGGGGTTATAAGCTTGCAACATTTTGTATGACTCGCGTTTCTCTTGTTAATCATTTGAATTCTGTTTTGAAGAAACTACCTGCAAAATAAAATTATTGCAATGTGCGAGACTATTTCAGTTATCAGGAATGATTTCATATGCCGACTTTCAAAGCACTTTCTGACCGAAATAGACAGCTACCAATCAATAGATGTGATATCAAGTGAACATAAAAAAGACAATTTTTTTCTTGTTGGTTATATTTCACGGTTATTTTGTTGACACGGCAATAAGAGCATGTTTTATGTCATTAAATCGTTCTAAATTCCAAACACAGATTTCTGAGTGAAGTGATTTCAAGCGATAATGAAACAACCCAGTTGCGGAAAATATGTAAAAATCATGAGTCAGTCAGTTTCACCCTTGCACGTAACTTGAAACAAACGTTTGAAATTATCATAAAAAGTTACTATACTGCAAAACAACCCTGTCTTGCAGGAAAATCGTGCCCAAAGAAGTGTTATGTATCATTGCGCGGAATAATCATCCCTCTCTTTCGGAAAGCATATTCTAAGNGTCAACACTGAGCAGTTCAAATGGAGTGACAGCACTGAAGAAGACGAAACCTTTAGGCTAAAAATCCCCCCAAATACCAAGCTGTACGTTTGGCAGTTTCAACTGGGGTTTGGAAAGAACAAGAATCTCTTCAGCCGTGATACTGCGATCACTTACGATAAAACACCACCTGAGGAGCCATCAGATTACTATTTACATTAGCCACCATATGGCAGGTCGGGCTGAATCGGCACCTGTCCTAAGAGAGTTTCGAATGGTGTGACACAAAGGAACCTTTATAAGAACCGTGAGTGCTAGAATTAACTCTGCGTGACTTTTTGGAAATTTCTTATCACTTTCACTTACTCATTGTCTAGTATATACTACGCTTTATTTAGAAGCAACCAATACTGCTTTAAAGATGCAAGAAGTCAAATTTAATCTGTTAGCTAAAGTCGATCAATTTTTTGGGTATACATGAGTGTTTTTTTTTGTTTGTTTGTTTTTGAGTGTTTTATTTACTCTTTGATGAAGACATGCTTTACTTGAATATTGGAAAGATTACCAGTACTGTGAATATACATCACCTGCCTAAACAGATATCAAAGTGCATTTAAGTGTGAGACAAGTGTACCAAGGTCTGAATTTTTACTAAGTGAGTTTCTTTTGAGTGAAAATAAGCGTGTTTTGAGTGGGACTTGGATACAATCAACTGAAGAAAAAGTTGTAACTGGAAATGTAAACATGCCCTAAGTAGACAAAAAAACGCGCAGATGTCTGCTTTCTTAGCTTTAACTGAATGTAACAAAGCCTGCGGTGTGATTAAAAATGTAACACAAACTAAAAGTTTTAATGACTGAGGTGATTCTTGGCGAGAGTGGAGAAATGCGAACGCAAAACTTGTTTGTAGCATCAAAATGTGGCTTCGTCTTCGTGGCCCATTTCAATTTTTTCCTTGTTGGTAAATAGGGAAAAATGTTTAAAATTCCATTACATATTCAATTGCATTTATTATAAAACGGTCTCGCTGAAAACATACGAATAACATGTACGAATACATACGAATAACATACGAAAACATATGGTCAAAATATAAAGGCTGCAAAGGACCAATGAACTGCAGCTTTTTCGTTATCATAGCTTTGGTTTTGGAAGGGTGGATTGTCAATCTGTTTGAAGAGCTCCACTTGGATATCTGTGCCATTAGGCCATTTAGAAAACAAAATAACTTGTTCAATATTTGGACCAATTGAGTAAATTGTGGTGTCGTCGTCATACATCAAATCGAATCGAGTCATCTTCTACTTGATCAGGAAGGTCATTAATATTAGTATAAACGGTATACAATCTTAGGCCAAGCAAGGATCCTTGAGGAACACCAAATTTAATAGGAAGAGAGACTGATCTCTGATTGTTCACTTCTGTATATTGGTATTTAGTATATACTAAAACAGTGGATA